GAAAACTTATTCGATCAACTAAGAGAAGCAACAATATTTTCTAAGATAGATCTGCGGTCAGGTTACCATTAAATAAAGAGTAAAGAAAAAGACGCACCAAAGACTGCATTTAGGATAAGGTATGATCGTTACAAGTTAGTGGTGATGTCATTTGGCCTCACCAATGCTCTAACTTTGTTAATGGAGTTAATGAATCGAGTGTTCAAGGACTGTCTATACACTTTTGTGATCGTGTTCATTAATGACATCTTAGTGTACTCGAAAACAAACTTGGAACACCAGGAACACCTCTGAAAAGTCCCAGCCACCCTAAGAGAGAATAAGTTGTATGCCAAGTTCTCAAAGTATGAATTTTGGTTACGATAAGTCTCTTTCCTAGGATACGTGGCGACAAAGGACGGAGTATCCGTAGATCCTACTAAGGTCAAAGCGGTCACAAAGTAGGAATGCCCAACCTCGGTAACATCAGTACAAAGTTTCTTGGGACTAGCGAGATACTATCAAAGGTTGGTGTATGACTTCGCTAGAATAGCCTCGCCTTTGACATAGTTAATGAGAAAAGGGGTACCATTTATATGAAATAGTGCTTGTGAGGCAAGCTTCCAAAACCTAAAAGAGAGATTGGTAACCGTCCCGGTACTCACAGTACCTGAGATCTCAGAAGAGTACGTAATCTATAGTGACGCCTTTAAAGAATGGACTAGGATGTGTGTTAATGCAACACGGTAAAGTTGTTGCATACATGTCCCGTCAACTAAAAGAATACGAAGATAATTACCCTACCCACGACCTGGAGTTGACCTCTGTAGTGTTCGCGCTGAAAATTTGGTGACACTACCTGTGGAGAGAAAATTCAAAGTTTAACCGACCACAAGATTTTAAATATTTATCCACTCAGAAAGAGTTAAATATGAGACAGAGAAGGTGGTTAGAATTGGTGAAAGACTACGATGTAGATATCCAGTACCACCCTGGAAAAGCAAACATGGTCGCAGACGCTTTGAGTAGAAAAACGGGCCACTCGTCGACCCTCATTACGAGGGAAGTAAGGGTACAAAGAGAATTCGAGCGAGCCAACATAGCTGTAGTGACCGAGGGAGTCATAACACAGCTGGCCCGGCTCACAGTACAACCTACGCTTAGGCAGAGAATTATTACCTCCCAACGAGAGGATCCTAACCTACAAAAAGTCCTAAAACATCTAGATGAAAGGCCAGTAGATGGATTTTCGAAGTCCTCAAATGAAGGACTATTATGTTAGGGATGCCTATGTGTTCCGGCAATAGAGGATTTAAGGAAAGAGATATTGACGAAAGCTCACAACTGGCCATTTGTCATGTATCCATGAGGTACTAAGATGTACCAAGATTTAAAACAACACTTTTGATGGAAGAGCATGAAGAGGGATGTGGTCGAGTTTGTGAGCAAGTGCTTAGTTTGCCAATAGGTTAAAGCTCCTAGACAAAAGGTGGCGGGGATGTTGCAGTCCCTAAACATACCAGAGTGAAAATGGGAAAACATAGCGATGGACTTCATAGTAGGATTAACCAAAACGCCCAAAGGCCAAAACGCTAAAAGGCTAGATAGTGGTCTGGATAGTTGTCAATAGGTTGACCAAGTCGACACACTTCCTGCCTGGGAAAGCTACTGATACAGTTGACAATTAAGCACAACTGTATGTGAAAGAAATAGTAAGACTACATGGAGTCCCAGTGTCTATAGTGTCAGATCGGGATCCACGCTTTACGTCAGCATTCTAGCGCGGACTTCAAAAAGCACTGGGTACCCGCCTCGACTTTAGTACTGCCTCCCACCCCCAAACTGATGGACAAATAGAGCGTTTAAACCAAATTCTAGAGGACATGTTACGCACATGCGTAATAGATTTTAAGGGAAGTTAGGATTCCAAACTCCACCTGATGAAATTCTTGTACAATAACAGCTTCCAAGAAACTATTGGAATGGCACCATTTGAGGCTCTTTACGGAAAACGGTGTAGGTCCCCACTATGCTGGGACGAAGTAGGCGAGAGAGAGTTAGTAGGACCTGAGCTGGTTCGACTCACCAATGAGGCTGACCAGAAAATTCGAGTGAGGATGCGTACCGCTCAAAGTAGACAGAAAAGCTACGCCGATATAAGGCGAAGAAGCCTGGAGTTTGAGATAGGGGACCCAGTATTCCTCAAGGTGGCACCTATGAAAGGGGTCTTGAGCTTCGGACGTAAGGGCAAGTTAAGTCCTAAATTCATTGGACCATTCAAGATCCTAGAGCGAGTTCGTCCAGTAGCATATAAGTTAGCCCTACCTCCAGCCCACTAAGGAGTACACGATGCATTTCATGTGTCGATGCTAAGGACGTACATTACAGACCCTATCCACGTAATAGACTACGAACCACTCCAACTCAATGAAGATCTGAGCTACGAGGAAAAACTAGTAAAAATCCTAGCTAGAGAAGCAAAAAACTTACGCAACAGGAACATTATGTTCGTTAAGATATTGTTGCGAAATCACCACAGCGAGGAAGCCACATGGGAGCGTGAGGACGAAATAAGAGAAAAATACCCCAAGCTAGTATAAGAGTTTGAGACTTTCGAGGACGAAAGTTCTTTTTAGGGTTAGATAATGTAACGACTCAGGAAAAAAAGAGAAAAAAAAGATAATAATAATAATAAGTAAATCATTTTCACGCACACACTAACATTTAGTAGCTTACTGAAACTATAGCTACTCATTCACAGCAACAATCTCGAAAAATCTAAACATCATCAATACAACAATTTACATTCACATTCCATGCAAGGTAAAACATAACGTATTCTAACTTATAATAAATATAGAATTAAGCTAACATGAATGCAATAAATTATAATACAATCAATAGAGTAAAAGTCCAATTATGAGTTATATTTTATAATGACCAAGCAATAACAACATACACAATCAACGACATTTAATTTTCTTATCTTACGCAAGACATACCTGATGGAGATGGGGCACCGACGGTGGGACCATGGAACATGTCAAGCCAACATCGTAGGCTAGTCTACAAGATCTATAACCTAAAGCTCCGATACCAACTATAACGACCCGAAATTTTCTACTTACTTTAAGGTCGCTACTGTATACGTACCATAAATATTGAATGCGGAAGACTTCATTTAAATTCCATAAAACATAACATTTATCTTAAAACATAGCCATGGACTTACGTGTTTTGAAAACATTTTTAAGACGACACAACAAAAGACCCGAAATAAAATCAATAAGCGTTTAAGTTTAAAACATTTTATTCTAGCCAAAGTCTAAGAAAATAAATACCACTCTTCTATGCATGTGCCATGGTCTCGAGTTGCGATGTCGTTATCAGCCGTACAGAAATGTCTTGTCTTAACATGAAAAATGTAGTAGCACATAGCTTGAGTATTTAAAGAAATACTCAGTAAGTAACCCCACTATTGGGGTAAATGCAACAATCACATGCAGTAAAATGATGGGGCCTATCTTTCGTTTCATTTTGTTTTCCCTACGGTGCTGTCCTAATGGGTAATTTTGGACGTATACCATATACTCTACACACAGCCCATACGTGCGAGTATGAGCTCACCAGCTAGTTCGCACACCGCTGGGCCACTTTCCTTATCTGGTGAGCATACTCTGGAAGCCCCTTATGCCAGACACCCGCTAGAACTAGTAACCGTCACGGTAGTGCTATGCAAAGCATAACGATCGTTGTCCTCCATTGGATGTACGCGTCTGTACCCTCGTGATGGGATAGGGGTATCCCCCTAGATGCATGAACACACATAGTGCATGAGGTCCCAAAACTTTGTTCCATTTTCATTATCCTTTAATACAACTCCGCTAGTATTATGTACATATCAAATCATTTTTCATATCGTTTTAGATATCGTTCATCATTCATATCATACTGTTTCTCATTCTTCAGTTCTCAAATTATACATAATTCTAACGAGGTTATATTTCATGCCAATTATCATAAATTCATGTCATTCATATCGTGCTGTATACACAGAATTTAAGAGACCTAACATAACGTTCTATGCTTTTAACATAACATTTCATCATATACCCATCATATTGTCAAGCAAATCCACTTTTTAATCATATTGTACAAAATTGACCTTATATTTAATAAAAATATCAACACATAATTCAATAATAATCCCCTTCCTCATTTAAAATAGTAAATTCTTATAGGACGGTTTAAATTTTCTTATAAATTTTTTAAAAGTTCTCATGAACTATGAGATCTCACGTCGGTTGAAAAAGAAAACGAAACATTTTTTAAAATAATGTGGAAACATCTCTCACAGACACATTTTAAAATAGTGAGACTGACGGTGATACGTAACGGGCTAAAGTAGATAATCTCTGCTAACGGTGAACTTAGACTATTACAAATGGTATCAGAGCCAGACACCTAGTAATGTACCAACAAAGAAGCTGGCCCCCAAGGGGGTGGATTGTGAGATCCCACGTTAGTTGGAGAGGAGAACGTAGCATTCTTTATAGGAATGTGAAAACCTCTCCATAACAAACATGTTTTAAAACCGTAAGGCTGACAGCAATACATAACGAGTCAAAACGGATAATATCTACTAACGGCGTACTGGCTGTTACACTAACATCCATATTTTCATTAAATTGAGATCTCTACATTTTTCGTCAAACATTGTCATTTAAAACTTGAGTGTTAATATTACTCTCTTTAATATTTCGTCATGAAAATTTTGAAGTTAAAGGTTTATTATGATTTCATGCAAGTAACACAAGTGAAACAAGATTTGAGGTTTAAAACATATGCATCGTCAAATTTGTAATAAGACACAAGAGAACAGACGAACAACGTTGTTTATTTGCAAAAACTACGTACCATTATGTTACATTGAAAATTAATGAAACTATACAAAGATGGTGGAATTCTGAGAAGATTTCAAAACCCATCATAATACGATGTACGACAAAACTAATTATTTAAAACATGACATTGAAATGGAAAATTGAAGAAGAAACCAGAAAGGGAAATGAAAGGATTTGGTTTCAAGCAGGGCATTGGAAGCCAGACGGAACCTTCTTTCCACAGTAGTTCAAAAGCAAGCCGAGGGAAACTGAGAGGTCAATCTGGAGACCCAAGGCTCTGGCCTTCACCATAGTGCAAAGGCACACAGCAGCTTCCAGGTCAATAAGGCCTTGGATTAGGGTGCAGCATGGGGATTTTGGTGGTGAGCCGATAACTACGTGCACTAGATCGTCCAGCAAGTCGGCGCAGACGCCGAGCTTGAGGGTGTCCCTAGGGCACTTGGGGAGTGATGGTGGCTGCCTTGACGGGGTGGGCTTGTGGGGCTTGGGTGGCGACGGTGGGCAAGGGACATAGGTGGAGCTGACCATAGTGAAGAAGAGGAGGTTGAGGAGGAGGAGGAGGAGGGCAATGGGTGAAGGGAGCTTGGAAGCCATTGGTGGAGAGATATTGAAGGGTTTGTAGGTTTGTTTGATGGCTTGTAAAGAATTATGAGAAGGGTTAGTGTTTTTATAGATGGGTTTTGGGAATTTGTTGTATTTTAACACAAAAATTCCTTATAAATTGCTGAAACATTTACTTTGTTAAGTTTTGAGGAATTGATTTGAGAGAGATGAGTTTTCAATTAGTTTGTCTGTTTCTAAAATATTATAAAAATGTCAAATGGCCAGCAAAATAGACCGAGTGATGTTTGATAATAAGATATAAAAAGAAATTATTGTAGCATGGAAATTTTTTTTTTGAGAGAAGCCCTTCAAGACAAGTGGTTTTTTTTTTTTTTTTTTTTTTTTTTTTTTTTTTTTTTTTTTTTTTTTTTTTTTTTTTAATATAACTATGAGATCACACTTTAGTTGGAAGAAGGAATCAAATATTTTTTTTATAAGGGTTTGGAAATCTATTGGTAGTAAATTGTAAAATTGGCGGTCATATATAATGAGTCAAAGCGGATAAATATATGTTAACAATGTGTTTTGGTATATATTGATGTTAGTATGACATAACAATACAACCTCTAAAACATGACAAGACTAAGATTGTTATTACATGCATGCTTGAAAGTCTTGAATTTTACTTAATTTTTTTCATCTCAAACAAAGACCGCTTTCCTTTGATTCTACATTTCTATCACGAAGTAATGAATTGGGTTCGTATAGGCATTTTTGATGCCGCTATTGAAATAGCTTTTCTGGCTATATTTTCGGCTACTCCACTCATTTCATAAAGTATTCTACCTGGTTTAACAACAGCTACCCAATATTCGGGGGATCCTTTCCCTGAACCCATACGTGTTTCTGTGGGTCTTAGTGTAACGGGTTTGTCTGGAAATATACGTACCCATATTTTTCTGCCGCGTCGTGCATTTCGTGTCATTGCCCTTCGTCCCGCTTCGATTTGTCTAGATGTGATCCAAGCGGGTTCAAGTGCTTGAATAGCGTATCTACCGAAGCAAATACGATTGCCTCGATAAGATATTCCTTTCATTCTTCCTCTATGGTGTTTACGAAGATGAAAATGGTTGTGGATAAAAGATCTAAAAAAAAAAAAAGTTAGACTTTTATTTGGGATCCCAAAAGGAATCCTAAAACATAAGTGGACCATTAAACATTGATAACATGAAACTCATCCTTGTTTCAAATGAAAACGAATTTGCATAAGATATTAAAAGCATGAAAATTTGTAATATAAACAAAATTCTATCGAAACTCTTTATAGCGATTACTATGCTGCTTAAAATGTCTTTGCCTTTACCTAAAAAATAGAAAATATTGAGTATCAAACATATTTAGTAAATAATCTTACTTCTAGGATTAGGAGATACAATCATAAACAATGGAGAAGTGCCTAGAGTTATTCCAAACTTAAGGTGTGTGTGTTATTTCTCAGTCTCCATACTATCATTTCTTTTATTTCTAGCCAACACCAATTTGGAGAACACGATGAAGAAAAAAGAAAATTGAGGAAGTCGATTTGGAGTTAATTTTGGCTATTCCTCGATAGTAGGATAAAACGAACATCAACTCAAGAAATTTAGTGAACCCTGCACATGTCATTGTTATGACTGTTTGCATGTATTATGTGATGCTATGCTATGTTATAAATTATGCTATGTCGTATTATGTTATGTTATAAGCTATGCTATAATACGACTATACCATGTTACCATGTTGTGGAATTATATTTATGATATTGATGATATGATGTATAAAACTCCATACACCAAGCTATGTAAATTCTGTTAATTAGGGAAGATATGACAATTATTACGTATGCATGTCTCACAGACTTGTTATGTCATGAATGAATGAAGGTATGTTGAATCATAAACTTATGTCATGGTTTTAAGCTATGGGGATCTCATGCATTTATGCGTGTCATTTGCATCAGGATACTTTCCCATTGTGATTGTGTCACAACCCAAAATTTGAATCTCGAAATCAAGGGCTGGACCAACAGACTATGCAATGAAATCGTGTAAAAGCAAATAGACAAGACGAAATTACAAAAAAAAAAAAAAAAAAAAAAAAAAAAAAAAAAAAAAAAAAAAAAAAAAAAAAAAAAAAAACTTTAGCAATTATGTAGAAAGTTTGAAATCCAAAACAAGGTGTTCAAGTAAGAAAAGTATGTAAATGGTTTACCAAACAATGCATGACAGATCTAAAAAAAATGCACAGACTCCTAGACGTCCCTGGTCACTCATCTGTGGCATTAAGATTCAGCATCCATTCCCGCTTCGAACCATGGCATCACTCACCTCCGCCTAGAACCATGACATCACTCACCTGAAAAAAAAAAAAAAAGAGTAGAAAGGAATGAGTATAAAAATACTCAGTAAGCGGCCTACTTGTAGGCTCTTTTTGCATCCTTATCTTGGTAGGTATCCACGGTCTTTCTCGGGTTTCTAAGGAGAGTGATCTAAGCTACAACTCTTTTTTCTGAATCTTAGGAGGCTTTCCCATCTTATACAGTGAAATGATCAGTGTCCTAAGGTGAGACGCGACCTCATAAATAAATCTGAGGGGATCGTATGGATGGATCTGAATATGTGACTCTCTCTAAACATCATTCATGGAGGTTAGCTGACGACCCTCACACGAAACCATACATCCACTAAATTTGGGGTGTGACCCCCTATGTGCCGGTCAGCTACTGAGTCATCCTATATGGCTCCACGTCCCCCGCTCATGGACGGGTTTCTACGGCCCAGGAGTCTTGTTCAGAAGACCCCTCAGCTATCACCACTAGGTCTGGGCACTTGTCACACTTCCCTGTCTGGATCTTCCAAGCTAAACGATCTCTATACCGGAGCTCTGTCTCGACGGTACGGTATCGAAGCAGAGAGGGAAGTGGAGGTTCTGATGACACTATCCACACTGCTCAACTCTAGCGGGCTACCTACAGTTACCGTGGTGACTTACTATTCTTTCTAGGGTGGAACTTGGTGGCTTAGACTTGGATTCATGCATCTCTAGGATTCTCGTGCCTGGTCTCATAAACCTATTGGGTTTGAAATTCTGGGCTCTGGGTCTGCCAGTAATCACTTCGCGGGTCTATATGCACGGTATACTAGAGATCTCCTAATCTAGGATCTCGTCTAACCTACTTAGTCACAAGCATCCTAGTCTACGCTCATAATTTCTTCCTATTCAACAAGAAAGATAATACAAGCAATTATAAGCATAGGAGTCCACACGCAATAGTTCATCCAATATTAACAAACATGCTCAACGGGAAGATAACGTCCATCTTCACTAGGAGCGCAGATTTCAAAAGTTTCCCATCCTCCTCATGCATACATACTTTATCACTATCTCAATCAAAACAGGTTTAGTAAACAATTCATATCTAGCTTTCCTTAATCATTTCATTTTCGTAATTTTCATACTAATATGCTAGGTTCGGCTAGCTAAGTTAATTGGTGGTAACATGCATGCTTGTTCCTAGCAATTCCTACAAGTACTACTCGTGGGAATCCAAATGACTACTTACTTGGTTGACGCATGCCTTCCCGAGTTCGAGTTTTCTTGATGGAAAGGATCCCAAAAATTATGGAATTTCCTTGACAGGTTGTAATTCACATAATAATAGGGTCAGTATCAAAATCGGGTCGAAAAACAAGCAAATAGAGACCGAACGAAAAGAAAAATAGTGCCTCACGTGCTTACACGCGCCAACACGCGTTCGGGAGGGTTTCTACGCGCGCGTGGTTTCCCGAGTAGTCGCGGGTTAGAGACGCCAAGTCTAGGTGGTTTAGAAACAAGCGGTTCACGTGCGGTGCCGGGTCGGGCCAGCCCGGATCTAAGAGCTTGACACGTGTCCACTGCCGGGTGAGGACGCGCCTCACCAATCGATGATTGCCACATGTTGATCACCGTTTCCGCTGCACTCCCCTGTACGTTGGCCGACGCGTTGTGGCGTCTCCTCCCTCTCTCCCGCGTGTTTTCCAAAAACATGAGTTTGGGTATTTTCGATCCATTTTCTTCCTATTTTTTTATCTTCCAATCCATAATCCTATTCAACAAACTTTCTTCACGAATCTTGTAGATCTTATGTTCTACTCTTTCGAAACAATTTTCTTATATTTTTCTGATAATCACAAATCTTAATATTTGAGTTCGAATTCGAAGAAAACACGAGTTCTTACCGAAAATCACGTTTTCTTGAAACTCAACGCCAATCTTGGTCGCCTTCACTCCAAAACTTAACCACATAACGCTGTTGAGGGTAAGAGTCCAAGAATCAACATAAAACGTCGCTAACACACGAAAATCTTGATGACTTCTCGATCTAGACACTCGTGGACTAACCTGAAGTTCTGGGACGTTTTGACGAAATAGGAAGGTGCGATTCGTGAGAGCACCTTTCCTCGGACTATTGATGGTTTAGATTGGGGACTCGGATCTCCAGTGTCGGTTATGATCCGATCTCCTACTCCTAACTCAAAAACCCTAATCTTCTTTCCCTCTTTCTCTCCCCTCTTCTTTCTCTTTTCAGATTATGACCCCATTCACATCAGACCCCTCAAGTAATAATAGGGAAAAATGACTAGTTTGCCCTTAGTGTGACTCTTTTTTTTATTTTTTTTTATTTTTAAACTCGGGCGCTACAGAATAATACGAATGCGTACATTATGATATCTATATTGGTCCTGATATTACGTGGGTCCTTTCTCTATGTGGTTTCTGGTGGCGTGAGCGTGCACTAACCCGATGAATGAGGCCTAGGGAATATATACATGAGTCTGTCTGATGAGACTATGTGCACATGTGTGGGCCGTGTGTATGAAAGTACTACACATTCAACCTGCCCGGACTAAGTTTAAAGTCATGTCATGATGGTTTTATGAAATGATAGGTCCCACCATATTGCATTTCATTGCATATTTTTTTTCCACAGTGGGGTTACTTGTGGATTATTTCTTAAAATACTAAGTCACATGTTACTCTTCCTTTTTAGGTAAAGGTAAGACACTCTTGTAT